ATAAACAGTCTATGACAATGTTTCCACAAGGGACAGTGATGGACAGGCAAATGGATAGTTCAAAAGAATAGAGAGGGAATCCACACACTGAAAGACTAATTTAACAGGGTTTTTGGAAGATACTGGAAACAGAGGTGGACTTGTAATCAGGTTGCAATGGGTACTATTATCATGTCAACTCTTCATTGGTCACTGAAGAAGGAGACAGAAAATGTGTGGGAATGTTTTAAGTGCAGTAATTTCAATTCATTCATTCAATCATTCATTCATTAATTTTATCTATTAGTATTTTTTAAACTGACAATTTATTATTTTATATAAACCCTGAAATTCATTATTTCATATAAAATTAACATATATTATTACTGAAGTACATATTAAACAACGATCAAACATAATTGGCTATTTTACCAGGGCAGCCTCAATGTCAGAACCATATCTTTCTGTATACAGAGTTCAGGGGCAGGTAACGAACTGGGGCAGCTTCAAGAAATCTCAGCATTCTGCCACTGGCTGACGTGTGAAGGATTTGAAATGCATTGTCCTTGGTTACAGCGTGTCCAGATTTTAAAAGATGACATGCTGTTGCGCAGGGATGATCTTAATCTTTTAAAATTTGGACATACCATAACCATGGACAACGCATTTCAAATCCTTCACATGTTAGCCAATGGCAGAACACTAAGATTTATTGTAGCTGCCACGATTCGTCACCTGTGCCCTGAACTCTATTTATTATTATGTTTTAGAAAAACATTAACATTTTCATATCATCCAATCATATTGTAAATCTGATGTTCAAAGCATTTTAAATTAAACACAGAAAATATTATGTAAAGTTACAGTGAAAGTCAGGGAGATCAACTTCACTGCACTGGGTTTGATCCCATGTGGCTTGGTCTCTTTCTGGATGCTGGCCATCTGCCAAGACCATTTCACAAAAGCACAAATTCAGTGACTGCAGTGACAATTCCCAGAGATCTCTGCAAACATTGCACTCATGAAGCAAACGACTCAGCTGTGAAACAGCTTCAGAGAGTGAGGTAAAAGGCTTGCCCACTTCGCCACCAAAACCCCCATAAAAATCTCGATCACCCTGCTCAAGATCTGAACCTGGGTTACTCATCTGAGAGCAGTTTGTTTTAGCCCTTTGGCCAGCTGTTGCTCTAGAAAGTTTTTTGTGTAGCTCCAAGATGTCTGGTACCAAACATGTTGGGTTTATGATGCTAAAACAAGCCCACAGCGTACTTTCTGGACAAACTGACTTGTGTAAATGCCCACTGAAATTCTTGGTACTGACCTCCAATAGTTTGTTACAAAATTGTTGAAAAAATATGCCTCAAAAAGGTGCCGCTACTGCGTACCACTGCGTACCACTGCGTACCACTGCATATCACCTTAAAAAAATGGCAGATAATACCAGAGCAAGAAACACTGTGCGGCAGGGCTACTCATCTAAGTTTACTCAGGACCCAACATTTTTCAAATGGGAATCGTCACGGACCAGAGGTATGGCATGGACAAATCATTAATACAGTACAACTGGCAATGACCCACGGGCCACTTGCTAGGCCTCTGTGGGCCAAATCTGGCCAGTGGGCTACCAGTTGAATAGCCCTGCTGTATGGTGTGGTGTATGTGAATTTGTTTAGTGGCAGTTTTTTTTTTTTTTTCAGAATGCAATAACATACAAATTAGGAATTTCACAGGATATGAATGTGTGTAAGCAAAGCATAATAAAAGTGTGACAAAATTTTGACTTAACTGACTCATTACAGGAAATAATTCAATTTGAATTCCACTTTTTAAGTTATAGAATACTTTCCTTTTTTACCAGTGCCAGAATTTTAAAGAAACATCAATTGCAACTCAAAGACTAAACAGAAAGGATTAATATATTAACTGAAATCACAATCACCAATTGTCAGTGGATGGTTAGTTTGACAATATACTAAACAATGATGCCAAAGAAGCACGGAGTCTCACCAATCCAAGGGCAGAACACTGAGGCAAATGGTTGATTGTTGCTGCCATCTGAAAGTGGTGTGGGTTTGTATGCTGAGAATATATTCTAACATTCTGTTTATCACAGAACTGGGAACTGCTCAGGAATCATTGAAGCTTACATGATTGAAAAACCTCTCATTTTCTAAATGATTATTAATATTTGTTTATAAAGAAAATTTTTCAACAATGTACTTAATGAAATACAAATGTCACTTATTGTTTACCATAAGTTATAATTGATATTGTTGATACTATTCTAATTTTGAAGTGAAATGTTAAGAAGGAGAAAATATTACAGTTTCCGGTTCGGACGAAAGTAGTCCTGATTTCATATGTTATGTTTGATAAATAGACATGACAGATTCTTCACAAGGAATCAGTAAAGGGGGAAACTGGACAATCTCTAATGCTAAGTTTAATTAAACAAAATGACAGTTCCTTTGACTGGTATTTTCCCAACAATAGAAATGCAATAGACATTGCCGGGATGAGTGAGAAAGGGGAGAGAGACAGAGAAAGAGAGGGTAAGAGAGAGTGAGATAGACAGTCAGACAGGCAGAGAAACTGAATATGCCATCATGTAAATATATGTCTTCACTAATCTAAAAGTTGTCTGCAACAAGCCTCCTTCTGATCTACACCTTGTAAGTGTAGCTAGAGTAGAAGTGATGGAAGCTTTCACACTTAACATGAATCAATATCATTTAGAATAAGGCTCACAGGTACAAGAGTTTTATGTTCAGAAGTTAGCCACCTACAGAATTTGATGATTTCTCAATTACAAAAGTTTTATGGTATGAAGTTAACCACTTAAAGAATTTACAACTAAGCATGTCTAAATAAATGTGATTTATAACTTCTTGACAGCTCTCCAAGGAGGCATGTATAAGAAATTGTGATTTATACTTTCTTGATATTTCTCCAAGGAGGTCTGTCTAAATAAATGTGATTTATACCTTTTTGATAACTCTCCAAGGAGGCATGCATAAATAACAGTGATTTATAATCTAGAGAACACTAACAACAACAAATATAAGCTACACCTGATACACTACAAACACATGGAGCATGTTGCTTTCGCCAGCTTGTCTGGACTATGATCAGCAAAGGAGATGACATAATATGCAGGAGAGACAGGGGAGACAACAGCAAATGTGAACACAGACACATTTTTGAAAATATAATGTAATTCATTAATGTAAACCGAATGCCAAGAGGCACACACACACAAAAAAGTTGTTATAACTAGAAATATTGAAAAACTAATGCTAGAAAAACATATCAGTTTATACAACTGAAAACACTTTGGAGAAATTATTGCAGGAATAATGAAAATTCTGTTACTAAAAAAAAAGATAGAAACAAATGTTTTAGTCACCTCCTGCAAATGTCATACCTAAACCCTAGAGAAAGCCTGGTATAGTCACCTCCTACAAATGTCATATCTGAACCCTAGAAAAAGCCTGGTATAGACACCTCCTACAAATGTCATACCTCCTAAACCCTAGAAAAAGCCTGGTATAGTCACCTCCTACAAATGTCATACCTGAACCCTAGAAAAAGCCTGGTATAGTCACCTCCTACAAATGTCATACCTGAACCCTAGAAAAAGGCTGGTATAGTCACCTCCTACAAATGTCATACCTCCTACACCCTAGAAAAAGCCTGGTATAGTCACCTCCTACAAATGTCATACCTGAACCCAAGAAAAAGCCTGGTATAGTCACCTCCTACAAATGTCATACCTGAACCCTAGAAAAAGCCTGGTATAGTCACCTCCTACAAATGTCATACCTGAACACTAGAAAAAGCCTTGTATAGTCACCTCCTACAAATGTCATACCTGAACCCTAGAAAAAGCCTGGTATAGTCACCTCCTACAAATGTCATACCTGAACCCTAGAAAAAGCCTGGTATAGTCACCTCCTACAAATGTCATACCTGAATCCTAGAAAAAGCCTGGTATAGTCACCTCCTACAAATGTCATACCTGAATCCTAGAAAAAGCCTGGTATAGTCACCTCCTACAAATGTCATACCTGAACCCAAGAACAAGCCTGGTATAGTCACCTCCTACAAATGTCATACCTGAATCCTAGAAAAAGCCTGGTATAGTCACCTCCTACAAATGTCATACCTGAACCCTAGAAAAAGCCTGGTATATTCACCTCCTACAAATGTCATACCTGAACCCTAGAAAAAGCCTGGTATAGTCACCTCCTACAAATGTCATACCTGAACCCTAGAAAAAGCCTGGTATAGTCACCTCCTACAAATATCATACCTCCTAAACCCTAGAAAAAGGCTGGTATAGTCACCTCCTACAAATATCATACCTCCTAAACCCTAGAAAAAGCCTGGTATAGTCACCTCCTACAAATATCATACCTCCTAAACCCTAGAAAAAGCCTGGTATCAGTAGGAGACTACATGCAATCTTGTACTAGTAGTACCTCTGGCAAGGTGACCATCATTTCCTTCTTAGGGCAGTTCACCACCATTGGGCTAGGTATGGTACTTAGCTCTCTCATGTGGCTCCCAGTAGCTGTCAGCATTCAACAGCTGCCACCCTCCACACAACAGCTTTGATGGGCTGGCTAAACCAGGAGAGGGTAGCCCACCTGGTTCTAAACGACTCGGTGAATGGGATATGCCTACCCTGCATGGAAAGACTGGACTCGGCGGATAAAACCTCTTATTGGTTTAACGGACAAGAAGGCGTTTACCAGCAGCCTCTGTGGAGAGCTTCAAGCAAGGCAGGGCACTTTAGACACCTTGGTCACCCACTACGAACAACAACAATGATGGACAAACAACAACAAATGCAATCGTCTATATAAAGAATGAACTAGACATCATATTCTGAATATTTTACTTCAAATAAGTCACATCTTCACCTTCCTTTTCACAAAAGCTCCAAAAACTGTGCAGTATAACACTAACAAATAACATGTGAAACACTTTTAGTAAGCAGAAAGGGCCATAAACCTTACCAATAATTTCGTCCACACTGGCACCTGACTTGTTGACAGACGAAATGATGACGAAGCCGAAACCTTCATTTTCTCTCCGGGAAACAACCACATCAAAAGGGTACTGGGGCAAGATGCTTTCATTGGTCTTCAAGTCTGAGGAAAGATAGAAATGCACAGAGTTCAATCACAGAAGACTCCCAAATATTGCTGAAAAAATATTTCACATAAATTCAGATGCATTACCTGGCACATGGAAACAATAAAGGAAAGAAGTCAATGAACATTTACAAGACAAATTGGACCACTCCGTCATATTTAGGCTGCCTTAAATCTCCAGACTCATGACCCCACTGACCTACATCAGCCATAAGTGCTAAACTGAAACACATGACAGTTTTTTGGGGGACTGCGGACAAAGCCAAGGAGTGGGACACAGATCCAGTATTGTTGGACAGAGCCAAAGATGGGGGTCAAACTAGAGATGTGGTCTAAACAGGGAAGAACAGTTCCAAGGATCAGTGAACTGATCAGTAAATATATCCAACAGACAAATCAGAGAAAAATTGAGGGAAGCTGGTCGGAGTGAATGGGGAAAGATAGATAAGAGACAGAGCTTACAAGGCATAATACCAAATATTTTTTACAAAACAGTCTTTGAACTCTGAAACTGTATAAACAAAACTGTAATTACTGCCAGTGTTTACCGCTTTCTATAATGTTGTAGATGTGAACCTAAGGATTTAGGGCCACATGGCTAGTGCAGTTGACATGTAATGTGCCTGTTTGATTAGGATTTTTACCCTGAAATAGCAAAAATGGCCATCATCTTAGCAAGGTCTCAGCAAACCTTGGTCTCCAACATGAGAATCCAGTGCTCTAACCATTCTGGACTACAGATTCTAAGATGGCAGTCAATTCATGAATGCAGAATACAAAAGAGCAACACATGACGTATCATACAGGGACCATCAGCATATATTCTGTTCATTTCTAATGAGACACAAGTGAGCCTATAAGTTTGGCTGAGACAAGTAGACCTCACCTGGATCAAGGACTCTCTTGATAGACAAGGTGACTCTTCCATTGAGAGCAGCGTTGGTCATCAGTTCCACCACCCTGTGATGTGAAGCATTAAGAACACTGCATCCATCTACATGTGTAATCTCATCATTCTGCCTCAGTCTTCCATCCATATCTGCTGCTCCACCTGGTACAATGTGACCAACTGAGACCTGAAGATGATCAGTTATCTATAAAAACAATGTCAGGCATGTTTCTACAGCTGCAGATAAGAACCAGAGGAGGTTGCCATGACTAAATGGTTATGCTCTTGGACTCCCACTCTGAAGGATGGTTGTCATTTTCATGGACTGTGCTGTTTGTCTCACCAGTGCACGGAAGCAAAAGCAATAAAATACAGAAGATGGGGTCATATTTCACGGAAACAAAACCAATGAAACACAGAATTTGAGGTCATGTTTCACGGAAACAAAAGAAATCAAATACAGAAGATGAGATTGTATTTCACGGAAACAAAAGCTCTAAAAAACTTATAAAATACAAAAGATAAGTTCTTATTTCACAGAAACAAAAACAGAAGTTCTGGAGACAGCAGGAATGAAAATAGAGTTGCTGAAGGCAGTTTAAAAAAAGAAAGTGACGCAATTCAACAATAATAATAGATGTAAATAATAAAAGCCATACACGGGGGAAAAGTTGAAGACAAGAGGACAGACAGTGGTACAAGTGGAAGGATAATATCAAGATGTGGACAAACAGTATTCTGAGAGAATGTACATTGAGGATGAAAGACAGAGTGTGTTGGAGATCAATTGCAGCCAACCTTCAGTGTGGAAAATTCACTTGACTGAATATATGTAAAGGCCTAAAGTGTTATATAGTTGTGGAGTCGGGCATGGGTCGGGCAGTTGCTTAGTTGATGACTGCACAGATATGTGAGCCTTCTTTAACTTCTACACAGAAGAACAATAGTTGCACACCTGAGGTAGACTTTTTGTTCACTGACCTCAGATTTTACCCCCAACAAATGTAAACTTCTTTGTCAGGGCTGAGGAGTGACAGCTGAAGCCACAACTACCAGGCAACAGGAACTTGTTTTTCGTCACCTGCCACAGAATGTGTAAACAAACAGCAGCAGGCTCCAGAATCAAACGGAGAATGTTTTCAAGGCACGTCTGAGATGGTTGTTTAGGAAGCCAAATGTAATAGTTTATGCTAGTTAGTTGCAGGGCTCATGAAGGTCATCAGTGTTCACCCTTTTTAATGATAATAGCTAGTCTTCCCTCACCCCCTCATTAGGATTGATCAGCTAATCTCCCCCCACCCCCCCCCTCCCCCCAATTTTTTCAAGAATGATTAGTTAATCCCTCCCCCTCCCCCTTTTCTTAACTTTTCAAGAACGACAAGCTAGTATTCCCCCCCCTCCCCTCCCCATTTTCAAGAATGATCAGGTAGAAGTTTACAGACAACTGCTGGCTGTGATTGCCTCATCAGCTTCTTAACATCAGTTCCACATTTCAATATGTGTTTTTACAGATTAGAGAAAAAACATCAGTTCCACATTTCAATATGTGTTTTTACAGATTAAAGAATAAACATCAGTTCCACATTTCAATATGTGTTTTTACAGATTAAAGAATAAACATCAGTTCCACATTTCAATATGTGTTTAACAGATTAGAGAAAAAACATCAGTTCCACATTTCAATATGTGTTTTTACAGATTAGAGAAAAAACAAAAACGTACCAAAATACACATTCATTATCTCATTACACTGAGTAAAACAAACAGTAACTTGGTTTCTGTAAGAAACACTGAGTAAAACAAACCACAACTCTGTTACTGCTGGAAACACTGAGTAAAACAAACAGTAACATGGTTACTGTTAGAAACACTGAGTAAAACAAAAAGTAACTTAGTTACTGTTGGAAACACTGAATAAAACAAATGATATCAATTTTTCTGTTGGAAACGCTGAGTGAAACACATGATAACTTGGTTAATGTTGGAGTAAAACAAACAATGACTTGATTACTATTGGAAACACTGAGTAAAACAAATGATAACTTGGTGTTACTGTTGGAAACACTAAGCATAACAAATGATAACTTGGTAACCATTGGAAACACTGATGTAAAACAAATAATAACTTGGTGTTACTGTTGTAAATACTGAGTAAAACAAATGATAACCTGGTTACTGTTGGAAACACTGAGTAAAACAAATAATAACGTAGTTACCGTTGGAAACACTGAATAAAACAAACAATAACTTTTTTATTGTTAGAAAAACACTGAGTAAAAAAAATGATAACTTGGTAACTGTTGGAAACACTGAATACAACACATGATAACTTGGTTACTGATGGAAACACTGAATAAAACATGATAACAATTTATTTTTCTGTTGGTAAAACAAACAATAACTCAATTACTGTTAGAAACACTGAGTGAAAAAAAAATGGATAATTTAGTTACTGCTGGAGATATTGAGTAAAACAAACAATAACTTGGTTACTATTCGAGATACTGAGTTAAACAAACAATAACTTGGTTACTTTTGGAGATACTAAGTGAAACAAATGATAACTCAGACCAATAAATGGTAACCATGGTTACAGTTCTAAGTAATTAAAAAGCTATCATTGCAGACACCATAGACCCCATAAGTTTCCACCAAGAAGTTCTACAGACCTGAAAGAGGCTGCTCTGTCTTGCTAAAGAATGCTGATAGTTGAGGATAAACTAGAAACTACAGTGGCTGAGCAGAGCAGTTCATAGATTTCTCATCAATAAAATAACTTCTCATTTTAGGGTCAGATGATTTTTGGTGAGTGAGACATGGTTTATGAAAACATATACATCATACTTTACATAAAAACATCAGACTTTACACATGTACATCAGACTACACACATACATAAGACTTAACACATATACATCACATTTTACACAGGTACATCAGACTTTACACAGGTACATCCGACTTTACACATGTACATCATATTTGCATATGCACAACAGACTTTGCATACGTACAACTGATTTTACACATGTATATCTGGCTTTTCACATGTACATCAGACTTCAAAAGGTGCATTAGACATGTACAGCACACTTTACTGTTACAAGAGACTATGTAAAAGAGACCTCAGACATTTACAGCAAACGTTACACATGTTTATCAGACTTTACACATGTATGTCAGATTTTACACAGGTACATCAGACTTTACACAAGTTCATACAATTTTACACAGGTACATCAGACTTTAAACAAGTACAAAATGCTTTACACAGGTACAAGATACTTTACATATGTACAAGAGACTTAGACATTTACATCTGACTTTACACACGTGGATCAGACCTTAAACATGTACATCACACTTTACACGTGTCATTCAGACTTTTTACATGTACATTAGACTTTACACGTGTCATTCAGACTTTTTACATGTAGATTAGACTTTACACATATGATCAGATTTTTGCCCTGAGTAATGTGACAAGACATGAAATAGCAATTACCTGCGAGCTCTCTTCAGTTCCTCCAATGATACGGAAGCCGTAGCCAGTTTCTTGTCTGTGCAAGGTTACTAGCATCTCCAGAACATGAACACCATTGTCATCAGTGACTATCCGACCTTGAGATCTCTGCACCAGTGCTTGGAATGATGGATGCGATGGTGGCTTGCGAGGCACACGAGTTATTGTACTTGGTACAGGCTTATCACTTTCAAAAGATGTACTCTGCTTCAATAATGGTCTTCCAGAGCCAATAGTGTTCTGAAATGCAGGTCTAGGAAAATCCCCAGCATAGTTTCTAGTCAGCGAGGAACTCTCAAACGGTTCATATGTGGGATAAATGGGAGGGGATGAGAAATCTGGCCAATTGCGGGTGTGATCAGGGTACGGAGACCTGTACTGACGGCCCTGTTCTGATGAAGGATTTGGAGTGAAACGACCGCTAGCTTTAAAATCAGCTGTCCCAAATGAAGTCAGAGGCTTTCCATTGCTGCGCATGTCAGCAGCTGTTGGTGTCTTGGGGCGATGCACTTCTGGTCTAGTGCCGTCAGGACCAGCACCTCCTCTAGCCATAAGCTCTGGACCTGGCGTGCGACTGCGAAACTGTCCAGGTTTTACTTCACGGCTGTATCCCCATCTCTCATCTCCTGAACCAGCATGGGTTGGCATAGACGAGAATTGTTGCTGAAATGGATCATTTCGTGAACTTCCATTTCTGAGTCTGGTATCAAAGCGAGGAAAGAAATCCGGCCGATTGGGTGCCCGTGGTGGTCTGCCCATGCTGTTTCCTTCTAGATCAGACCGACAGCTGTTGACTTGGCCAAAGGTATTATAATCCTGGTACTCTCTTCTGCCCATCTGCATATCCATATAAGGCTGTTGTCGAGGGCTGCCAATTTTATTTGCTGATGGCATTGTGTTATTGCCATCCTGTGGTGTTTTCGGCCTCTGTAAGTCCTGGCTCGGTGTGTTATTGTGTAATTTTTCTCCATCTGTTTCTTCTGTTTCTGAAAAGACATGGAGGAAGTATTTCATATTTTGAAGGAACACTTGCTACAAGTAAACCTCTTCAAAAGTTATAAATGAACAGGCAGACAGACTGGTTGATGCTGTACCACCAGACGGTAAATTGATGCAGCACAATTTAGATGTTGTCAAAGCCCTTTTGGGGGCAAGTGAACAGTGCGGAGAGACAAACAACAGTATGGAGAGACAAACAACAATGTGGAGAGACAAACAACAGTACGGAGAGACAAACAACAGTGTAGGAGAGACAAACAACAGTGCAGAGAGACAAACAACAGTGCAGAGAGACAAACAACAGTGCAGAGAGACAAACAACAGTGCAGAGAGACAAACAACAGTGCAGAGAGACAAACAACAGTGCAGAGAGACAAACAACAGTGGAGAGACAAACAACAGTGTGAAGAGACAGACAACAGGGTGGAGAGACAAACAACAGTGTGGAGAGACAAACAACAGTGCAAAGAGACAAACAACAGTGTGGAGAGACAAACAACAGTGTGGAGAGACAAACAACAGTGCAGAGAAACAAAACAACAGTGTAGAGAGACAAACAACAGTGAGGAGAGATAAACAACAGTGCAGAGAGAAAAAAATGACCATCATGGTCTGAAAATAAAAGTAACACCCTGGTGTAAATAGCTGTGTGACGTAACTGGTACACAAAGTAACACCCTGGTGTAAACAGTTGTGTGAGGTAACTGGTACAGAAAGTAACACCCTGGTGTAAACAGCTGTGTGAAGTAATTGGTACACAAATTAACACCATGGTGTAAACAGCTGTGTGAGGTAACTGGTACACAAAGTAACACCCTGGTGTAAACAGCTGTGTGAGGTAAGAGGTACACAAAGTAACACCCTGGTGTAAACAGCTGTTTGACGTAACTGGTACACAAAGTAACACCCTGGTGTAAACAGTTGTGTGAGGTAACTGGTACACAAAGTAACACCCTGGTGTAAACAGCTGTGTGAGGTAACTGGTTCACAAAGTAACACCCTGGTGTAAACAGCTGTGTGAGGTAACTGGTACACAAAGTAACACTGAGGTGTAGCTTGCGTACCTAGCTGAGAGGTAATGAACCAACAGTCTGCATATAAATAAGCCAGATGTGTAAAACAGATATGCAGGCACAACAGAAGTTGTGGAACAAGATCAAAGTTCAGAAGGAACTAACAACTAGAACTTTCTGCAGGAGTTTCAGTTGGTGGATTCAAGGAAGAGGAAAAAAAGTACAAACATCTTTCGCTGAAAAACTACAAGCGGCCTCTTCTTTATAAATGCAAACAGGTGATATAGTTGTCAAATGGTAGAGAATCTGGAGGTGTGATAACAATGTTCAGGGGAACACACATTTTAAGAAACACATGATTGTGGAAAAAAAAATCACACATTGAGAAATCTTGAATACCCAGAGCTGAATTTCTTCATTAGACATGCAGAGTGTGCAGGTATGTAGAGATAAATGTTGACACCTGCAGAACCGTGCAAGGTCATTTAAAAATTATCCTCGCTGGTAAGATTCACGAAGCTTATCTTGTTTTGCAAAGTGTTTAGGGGAAGTATTTATTGTCATTTAAAATATGAACTGAAAAAAAGGTTAATAAAAACAACGTAGAGCCGTGCTAGAGCATTGACACGTGCACCTGCCAGCAGAGGTGTGCCAGGTTAATTACAGGGTTGCCAGATAAAAAAAAAAAACTTCATTTTATGCCAAACCATTGCCCAAAATATGCCAGAAAATGCCAGATAAAGTATAACATTGTACTAGCTTCACATCAAAAGCTATAGATTGAATTCTTCACTGTCATCCTCACTGGAACAAGTGGAAGACACAGCGTAAACCCTTTCGGATGTAAAATCTGTAAGCATTTTCTCAGATGGGATGAAATCTTTGCAGCTCATCTATAATGATGGCATATTTCGTGTTCCGAAAATCATAAACAAGGTCATCCTTAAGTGCAGGCGATATAATATTTTTTTATTAGGCATGAACGTCTTTGCGACTGTATGTGCTCCAATGTACTTCCTGACCATGCGCTCTCATGATTTCACTTAGATGATCAATTGTGCGTATTGCACAATGACAGGTCATGCCTACAGCAAGTTGCAACTCTGCTGCCTTTAACTTTATCATTACTTTGGCTAGGATGGTAGTCATTGTTTTAATAAGCTGTGACTGGCTTTTTGACAGAGTTTTCATCCTGTGTTTTTCGGATTTGTCATGATTTGATATGCTACTAATTCTTGGTGCAACAGTGCACTGACATAGTTTACAATATGCTGCCTCTGATCCGTCTGGAGATCTCTTGAACTGTGGGTATGTTTTCTTCCAGTTACTATTATATTTGCGATGTCATAAGATGATTTCCTTTTTTTTTTGGGGGGGGGGGGGGGGATGACGTGGCCATTGGGAGAAGAAATAATTTCTATCATAGATAGAACTAGGCCTATATCCTCTCTATTGTCTGTCCTCGAGTAATTTCTGAACAGTCTGAATCACTTGGTATCAGTGGTGGGTTTTGGTTTTATATCCCGCATTTATTCTAGTAGAATAGCATAAATTACAGAGGACGGTTTATCGAAGTCACGATCCATTTAGAAAGACAATAAATACAATAAGAAATGGCGCGAATCTCCGTTAGTCCGTACCAGGACATCACAACAAAGTCAGACTGAAATAAAGATGTTAACTGTAGGTCTAAAGGGCTTTTAGTAAATCTTCGTGTTTCTAACGGAGGAACCATGAAGAAAATGTGAGCACATCTTGATAAGAAAAGCCAGGAAAACCCCAAATATGCCAAAATATACAGTTCATTATCTTATGCCGGTTTAATTTCAAATATGCCAAATTAGTGTAATCTGGCATCAAAAATGCCAATATGGCAACCCTGGTTTATTGCCGTGATGAGACGTGCACACAAATTAACGTTTCAATAATTCTACCTGGCCAGATTTTAGCATGTCATGATGCTGCTCAACATATTGAAATCCATACGCCGGCGTGATGTTGACAACATCGCCCATAGACTGGTCTATACAGACATGAGTCTAGCCTGGTATGCCTGATGCGCCACTGTCGTGTAAAGGGACCTGTGCTTTGACTAACGTTATCTACAGTACCTGTCAAAGTTACACACCGCCGAATTTGTCAACACTGAAACTGGGGGCACACATACCAACCATAACATCCATCAATAGCTTTGACTGCCTGAAAACACCACATTCTGCTGGTCAACTGAAGTCGGCATCAACGACGCCATAAAACGCAATCAATGATCTCTCAGTTCCTGCCACTGTCTCGCTCCGAGGGGATCCCGCCAACCCAACCCTGGCAGAACAGATTCCAAAATAACCGTGGTGTTCTGTTCAGATTACGTGCACTTGGTCTATCTCTGAAGTTACGGAGCAGAGGCGTTGCAGAGCCCAGGTGAAACTTGAAAATGTCAAGAGGAAGAAAGCGCACACCAACTGTGTAGTTTGAAGAGGTCTGCTGTCGTAACTAACGTCGTTACAAGCACTTGTGTCCTTTTGGTTCAGGAGCGGGAAAGAGACTATAACAGTAACACTTACAGCATTATACACAAGTATATAACTGCTGTAAGAACGGCAGACACTGACAAGTTGAACTTGTTCGCTTTACCGAGGACGGTCAGGTGTGAGCCAAGACAGCTGGAGCCGGTCGTGTGTGAGCAAAGGTGTGCGTGCCTTCTCTGAGAACAGCCACAAAGACGGGTTCAGTACAGGTACGCGAGCAGGCTTATCAGTTTATCAGCAAGATTTAAAAATAGCCGTTTTAGAAAAAAAAGTCACTGGTAAACATTAAACTGGATAACAGAAAGGAAACAAAAAATCGTCAAGAAAGCAGCTAAGATAAAATGTATTGGAAAGCTGAGGGGGCGTACAAATAGCGTATGTAGTCTATTTTGGAAAGTCGAGAAGGCGTACACATCGCATCTGTAGTTTATTTTGGAAATCGATTCTAGAAAAAACACCAAATCAACCAAAAGTCAGGAACGCTTTTTGACTTCAATGGGATATCGAAGATATGATGCTGGGTTCATATTGTTCCATACCAATCGACACTCAGTGAGTCATGTTATCAATATTGTGCCGGCCGCCTTTACTTCCTATTACTTTACCTAGTACCCATGTAAGGTTGGGACGACCATAATCTTAGGTAAATTTTGAAAGTAATCCGACTGAATATTGATTTGAACCCAAGAACTTCGGCCAGCGCGAGCGTCTAGCTGCTATGCAGTCGCGGCTCTTGTAAAAATAAATGTATATTTAAAACGCTAAGAGTGTTTATGTCTCCAAGTATTGCAAGAGTCCTGGAATGTAAGCAGCAACTGTATCAAATCAGTTACAGCACACGCAATCAATCGCATAAGGCAACGCCAGTTCTATGGCAAAAGGCCACTCACCAGTTTCTGAATGAGCAGTTCACGACTCAAACCATATTTGCATAGGCGGAAAGCATTCCACATGAAATCTGCAATCAGTTCAGTAGCTGGGCGACGGGACCACATACTTTCAATCCAGATATGGGGTAGGGGAATACAACGGCGAGCCATAGCCAAAAGCAAATAACTTGTTATCACTATCTGTACCACTGTAATGATATACTTTCACTTGATTATCTGAATGTTTGCAATCAAAGTTGCGATTTTTGAGGTGGCCTAGTTATGGTCAAACCTTCAGGTTTCAAGCAGGGAAAATACGAGCAGACAGATGTAGACATACTACGCTTTGCCACCATGTTTACAAACAGAACAGGGACACTTGTATTAGCACGGAACAAACCCGGGCAGGAGAAATTACTGGTCAGAGATAGATAGATTAAAATCCTGTTGTTCCGGGCTGACCTGTTCCACCTCTGAGCTGCTACCCTAAGGCTTGACACACCTACGACTTGAAGAGCCTCATGCCGGAGGGTAATCCAACATGGTAATCCCAAATCCGCCGTTTTACACGTTGAGAGGTTATAATTAGATCATTAAGTACCACCCTGGTGTGCCTAGATCCTCCGCTCTAAGCCTTGAACAGTTATAATTAGAGCATGCATTTCATCTACACCAGGTACCACCCTGGTGTGCCTAGATCCTCCGTTCTACGCCTTGAACAGTTATAATTAGAGCATGCATTTCATCTACACCAGGTACCACCTTGGTTTGCCTAGATCCTACGTTCTACGCCTTGAACAGTTATAATTAGAGCAAGCATATAATCTACACCAGGTACCACCTTGGTGTGCCTAGATCATCCGTTCTACGCCTTGAACAGTTATAATTAGAGCATGCATTTCATCTACACCAGGTACCACCTTGGAGAGCCTAGATAGTGTGACTAGGATATGATGCTATCCAGCACTAATGCGCAGAGTTGTGGGAATTATCCTGAATCATCTAGTGATCAACAGCCAGGTGACCAGTGGAACAAGAGAACTAGCATAAAGTGAACCAGTGATGGTCACTATCCTAGCCATCTCCTTGTGAGATGCAATTTTTCGTTATTTTGAAGCCCCGCCAGAGGCCGCAATATAGCCTGATCATAAATATGGTCTAATGGCTTAACTCGGTTTCTGGGACCTCTCCACGTTTGATCCTCATCCACATGGTGGCGCTTTGTGTCTTTGGGTGTTTATCGCTTGTGTGACGTCCTAGTGGGGTATAAATCTACCACCACTACTACTACTACTACCAATGAATGAGGGGACATAACTGGCAAAGTAGTCAAGCCCTTTGCACTCTAAAGGTCATAGGTTCGTTTCATGGCAGCAGTTCAAAATTAAACCCTAATCTGCATAGTCCGTGGCTACAGCACTAGCCATGCGGCCCCAAACTCTCAGGCTCAATGATCCCCGTGCACACACCGCACAAGGGCTCAATAGGGCAGTAACGGCAGTTGTTTGGTTCACGGGTGTAGTTTTTACGGTGATCCATGGGGGTCGTCGCTGAAGCTAAACATTCGTGCTTTGTGGGGACGCTCTCGGTGGAGAGAGACCTAGCCACACGGGGAAACACCTGGTGTAATGAGGTCCATCTTCTAGACTTTAACTTGACTGACGACAGCAATACTCAGGGCCATCGGTGAACTGATTGGATGTCAAGGGATCGACTTCATTGCACCACATATCTCTCCCCAAAACGTCTAGCCGCATGCCGACATCATGCACAACACACGAACTCCATAGCTCCAGGGGCGGAACCCATAACATTTTGTGTGGGGTTTTCACCACTGGTGATGAACTGGATCCCTGATGGCCAGATCGGTGGGTGAAGTGGTCAAATGTGCTGCCTTTACTTTCCAAGACATTACCTGCTATCTATTTTAGACTGGGGCGACCTGCCCCCCCCCCCCGCCCCTCAATTCCCCCCAATCACCTTGTGCAGATTAAGACATTTCTATACAATTTGTCGGTTGAGTTGAGTCCTATTGGGGAAACACGCAGGTTGTATCTGTTCATTGTCCGTCTGCATGTTTATGAACCGCACGAGACGGTCAGCAGGGAGGGGGGAAGAGGGCTTGGCCTTACAATTAAGAAGATTCTTCTT